ACTAAAAATTTTAAAAGTAAGCCTTGTAAAAAATAAAACAGAAAGGAAGGGTGAGCAAGTGCAGAGATAATGTCTAACAGGAGGACTAATATTAAACTGTGCTGGCACAGTGATTTCTGCCAATTTAGGAGATTTTAGTTCTTGTCACAGAAAGAGCCACACAACTGTCTTGTCTTCCACCACAGCGTCACGTCACTGTCTGGGAGCATCTTTAACATACTGTAAGCCACAAAGACACAAGACACAACTTGTTTTCAAAAGCCCATGTGCCACTAGATCAGGGAAAAGCCAGGCTGGGCTGGTTATTCCTACTGGTGCAATCTACAATTAGAGTGGGTGAGGGTTGTTTGGGCTTAGCCGCAGCACCAGCTGGCAGAAACTGGCACTGGGGGCTAATTCTGTCAAGTTAAACTGCAGAACCACCTGGAAAGTGCACAATCTGGGAGTGAGAGACCTGGGAGGGAAATCGTGGGTTCCCTACTCTTGGGTTACCACTCCCACGGGAGGGCACGAAAACTAGGGCAGGGACTGGGGTGGCTAGACAGAGAGGCACTCATCGACACCCGTGAGGGCTTGATTGTTGAGCTGGTTAGATGGATCTAAGCTTCAATGCTAATTGCCATATATGAGACCCATGGGGGATGTGGGACAGACTGGACTGGTCTGCTACACATACTGGCAAACCAGGGTAGGGGGCGGGCCTGGTGGGGGTCATTGGGGTTCGCTCTCACCAGGCTGCAGCTCCCACTGATTTAGGTGAGGGCCGAGAACGCACTGTGCAGAACCAGTCTGGACTGCAACACTCATTGGTTCCAATGGAAGGCGGGGCTGAAAACAGAACCAACTCAGCAATTGCAACCACCAGCTGATTGGGGTGATGGACTGTGCTGGGCCCTGTGCTTGCTGGTGCATACAAGAATCTGGCCTGGGAACACCTCAGACGAAGTTTCTTTGGCGATCTCCCCAGTTGAAATGCTGGACTCAGAACCCTAACCATGAAAGGACAGAAGATGGAGCAGGTTAATCAACCACCTCAGCTATAGGTTGGCAACAAAATACTGGGCAAATAGAGACGCTATGATGGACAATGTCAATCAGTGGATTTTTCAATGACCTCGTCGTGTTTGGAGAGGCGAGATTGGCAGCGATTCATAACTGGTGAACTATTGAAACCTCTTGAGCGAATATCTCAGAGCATGCCCCACATGCAGGACTTGGGGTGGGTGGGAAACCGGATGGGGCTTCTCCCTCAATATCCCCCTTTACCTCAGATACATGAAGGAAACAATATGGAAATAATAATCTTACCCACTTTCCTGTAGCCCCTGAACCTTTTTACCCAAATTAACTATGCAAAGATTGTCAAAATAAAAAAAAGGGGAAAAAAAAAGCCCAGTGCTGGGTACTATGGGCTGAGCCTCTGTCTCTGACACGGGCTTTCCACATCACACGACCAGCTGGAGGCCCAGCTGCTCCACCTCCAGTCCAGCTCACTGCCTTGATGCTTGGGAAAGCAGCGCAGGAGGGCTCAAATGCTGTGCCTGTCATGGTTGGCCACGTGGGAGGCCAGAATGGAATTCTGGACTCCTAGGTTCAACCTGGTCAGTCCAGCCCTGTCCCAACTGCTGTGGCCATCTGGAAGTTAAGGAGCAGATGGAAGATCTCTCTCTCTCTCTCACACACACACCTGCGGTCACTTCTTGTGCATGGCTCAGCTATGCGCGACTTTAGCCCTGTGTGAGGGGGTGGTATAGTGGGATTAGTTTGCTTTCTTCTGCCCCGTGTCACATCTGGAGATTTTGGGGGACGGGCGCAGTGTTCTTAGGACAAGTGGGGCCCACCGAGCCTGTCCCTTCCCCCGGGAGGTACAGCACCAGAGTCTGCCCTGGCCCTGGGTGCCAACACAGAGCGTGGGGTGTGGTGCCCACCTAAGGAGCTTGTGTCTCTGAGTCTGTTCTCACCTCCTTCCCCTTACCACCAGGTCAAGGCGCAGAGTCAGGCCGGCTGGTTTTGTTTTGAATTTATAAAAGAGAAAGCAGCAGTGAAAAAGCAACTGCTTCCCTGACCGGGAATCAAACCCGGGCCGCGGCGGTGAGAGCGCCGAATCCTAACCACTAGACCACCAGGGAGGCGCTGCAGCAGGGTGGCACAGCATGGCAGACTAAGGAGGGTGCTGAGTGCGAGGGCGGCAGGGCAACCGGCGGGCGGCAGGGAGGGATGGAAATGGGGCGGGCAGGGCGGTGGGCAGCCGGGCAGCCGGGCAGCGCGGCCCACGCCCCGGGAAAAGAAAGCCACGGCGCCGCGGAAAGCGCGCCTTACAGCCCGGCCGGAAAACATGTGTCAGAAGTGGGATTCGAACCCACGCCTCCATTGGGAGACCAGAACGCCCAGAAGGCAAGGTGCGCACCTTGAGTCTGGCGCCTTAGACCACTCGGCCATCCTGACAACCGGGAGCTGGGGCGCTCCCGCCACGCCTGCTGCCTGCGCCTGCCGGGGAGCCGGGCCGGAGAGGGCGGGACACGGGGCTGAGGGATCCGGGCGCGGGGCGCGGGGCCGGGCTGGGGATCCGGGCTGGGGGCGCGGGGCCGGGCTGAGGGATCCGGGCTGGGGGCGCGGGGCCGGGCTGAGGGATCCGGGCGCGGGGCGCGGGGCCGGGCTGAGGGATCCGGGCGCGGGGCGCGGGGCCGGGCTGGGGATCCGGGCTGGGGGGGCGGGGCCGGGCTGAGGGATCCGGGCGCGGGGCGCGGGGCCGGGCTGAGGGATCCGGGCGCGGGCGCGGGCCGGCTGAGGGATCCGGGCGCGGGGCGCGGGGCCGGGCTGGGGATCCGGGCTGGGGGCGCGGGGCCGGGCTGAGGGATCCGGGCGCGGGGCGCGGGGCGCGGCCCCGGGTGCTCGTCCGCAGAGGGAGCGGCCCCCGCGCGGCTGCACACGCACGCCTTCCTCCCGGAGGGGCCTGGCACCCGCACGCAGCGGGCCGGTTGGCGCGGGGGCTCGGCCGCCCTCTGCCGGTGTCCCCTCGGCGTCCCCGCAGCAGCCACGGGCTCCGAGAGCTGCCTGGCCTGCTGCCCACGGGCCACGGCCGAGGGGCGCAGCGAGCTGCTGATGACCCGGGCTCACTCACATGCACCACTCCCCGACACACGGGGCTCTGAGGGGGCTCCCCGAGAGCCAGCACCCCGCGGGGCCGAACGAGCCCTCAGGTGCCCGACCGCAGACCGACGGCAGGCCCAACATCCCCTCAGGTGACCGACCGCAGACCGACGGCAGGCCCAACATCCCCTCAGGTGACCAACCGCAGGTCGAACATCCCCTCAGGTGACCAACCACAGGTCGAACATTCCCTCCCGCGCCGGGCCCCGCGGACCTGAGGGAACACAGGCCCAACTTCCAGCAAGGGGAGTGCTGTAGGTCACGGGGCGTGGCTTCGGGGCCTGGCCAATCACGAGTTGGCTCGCCTGGCTCCCTCCCTGATTGGCTCGTGTGAACTACCTCATTAGCATCTTGGTCCACAGGTTGGACGGGCATAGCTGCGGGCGGCCATGGTCCATCCTGGATCCTCGGTGCAGGGCGGCCTGTGGGGTCCTGCCAGGGCTGCTCCTTGGTGGAAGACGGCCTCTGGGGTCCTGCCAGGGCTGCTCCTCGGTGCAGGGCGGCCTGTGCGATCCTGCCAGGGCTGCTCCTCGGTGCAGGGCGGCCTGTGCGATCCTGCCAGGGTGGATCCTCGGTGCAGGGCGGCCTGTGGGATCCTGCCAGGGTGGATCCTCGGTGCAGGGCGGCCTGTGCGATCCTGCCAGGGCTGCTCCTCGGTGCAGGGCGGCCTGTGCAATCCTGCCAGGGTGGATCCTCGGTGCAGGGCGGCCTGTGGGGTCCTGCCAGGGCTGCTCCTTGGTGGAAGACGGCCTCTGGGGTCCTGCCAGGGCTGCTGCTCGGTGCAGGGCGGCCTGTGGGATCCTGCCAGGGCTGTTCCTCGGTGCAGGGCGGCCTGTGGGGTCCTGCCAGGGCTGCTGCTCGGTGCAGGGCGGCCTGTGGGATCCTGCCAGGGCTGTTCCTCGGTGCAGGGCGGCCTGTGGGATCCTGCGGACAGACAGCAGGAATGTGGGCGCCATCTCCACCCGTCTCATGCCCATCTTGTCTGTTTGATGACACCTCTTTGCAGCTGTGGTCTGCATTGCCCTGATGGCTAATAATGTCGGTTGTCTTTTCATGTGCTTGTTGGTAATTCTAACGTCTTCTCTGGAGACATCTACTTCGTTCCTTTGCCCATGTTTCAACTGGCCCAGCCCCGGCCGCTGCAGTCATTACGGGAGCGAACCAGCAGATGCAAGACCTCTTTCTCGTATTTGTTGCTCTTGTAAAGAATCTTTTTAAGAGAACTGTTGTTTAATAGGGAAATGTCTGTGGTTTTTATTCACCACATGAAGTCCTGCCTCGCCCTGCGAGTGACCACACCTGGACTAGGAGGTGCCAGGCTGGAGTCCTCGAGGGGCGCCAGGTGGCCAGGCGGTGCTGCTCAGCAAGCAACATTTAGGGCACGGCGCGCGGCCCGCGCCGGGCCAGGGCGAAGTTCTGGGGTGACAGCTGCGCACAGCGGCCCGGGAGGCAGCCTGCGACCTTTCGGCTGCGTCTGACTGCACACTCGGCAGTTCAGTGAAGGCTGTGGTCAGCACACGGAGCACACGCTCCCGCGTCCCCGCACCCAGCACAGCGACAGGCCCAGGGGCCCGGGAAGGTGCGCGGCCTGGCCAGGGTGCGTGAGACGCGCCCGCACGCCCCGACTTCCCGGCAGGCACCGCGCGAGCGGGCAGCCAGTGCGCAGGCGCGGCCCGCCCGGCCTGTGACGCGCGCTCCGGAGACCGCACGCGCCCGCGCAGCCGTTTCCTCTTAAAGGAGCAACGGCGCGGCGCGCGAGGTGGGCCCCGGCCCTGCGGCCGCTCCCCAGGCCTGCGCGCGAGGCGGCGGGGCGCAGGCGCAGTGGGGCGCGCAGGGGCCCGGGGGGCGGAGGGGGCTGCGGTGGTGATCCTTGCGTGGCGGGGCCCGGGTGGGCTGCGGCGGGGGCGCCCTGGGCCTCCGCCCGACCCCCGCTGCGCGCCTGGACCACAGAGGCCCGTGCGTCCCGCAGCTCCTGCCGGCCAGCTCCGTGGGCCGCCCAGCAGACCCCTGTCCTGGCGACCCTGGGCGCCCAGAGGACAGCCGGGGGCGCGCCGTCCGGGGATCGCGGCCGTGAGGCGACCTCCACCTCCGGTGCCCACGCGTGCCCGTCGCCTTTCCAGGCCGCCGAGCACATGGCGTCGTCCCCCGGCGCGGACGCGACCCGCAGGCGGCGGGAGAAGCGCAGGCAGCTGGACGCGCGCCGCAGCAAGTGCCGCATCCGCCTGGGCGGCCACATGGAGCGCTGGTGCCTGCTCAAGGAGCGGCTGGGCTTCGCGCTGCACTCGCAGCTCGCCAAGTTCCTGCTGGACCGGTCAGCATCCCCTCCGCGCCCGGGGCTGCGCGGCCTCTGGGCCGGGGTCCCAGCCTCCCTGTGTGTGCCTAGGGCTGTGGGCTCACCACCCGGCCTGAGCTGCCCGCCTCCTCTCTCTGGCAGGTACACCTCTGCAGGCTGCGTGCTCTGCGCAGGTAGGGGCCAGGGTCACCTCCCCGGGGAGCTGGTCAGGACAGCAAAGCGTGGGCACCTTGGGGTCTGGCTCTGCAGGGCCTCGGGGCTCCGTGGGTGTGAGCTCCAGCACGCCCAGCCTCACAGCTTCTCCCACTGCCAGGTTCAGATCCCGTGTCGCCCAAGGGCCTGCAGTACCTGGTGCTCCTGTCTCACACCCACAGTCGCGAGTGCAGCCTGGTGCCTGGCCTTCGGGGGCCCGGGGGCCAGGACGGCGGGCTTGTGTGGGAGTGCTCAGCAGGCCACACCTTCTCCTGGGGACCCTCTCTGGGCCCCTCCACTGCAGAGGAGTGCAAGCCGGCCTCCTTCCCACGCACCCCCCGGGGCGGGCAGGAGCCCACAGGTAGGCTGGGGACTGGCCAGGTGGTCAGCGGGGTGGGGCAGGCCTTGGCAGCCAGATGTAATGAGTGTGCCCCTGGCGGAGCGTCTGTGGGGACAGCAGGCGGCCTGAGGGAAGAAGTGGGTGACCCAGGACGCCCCCTGCCCTGAGCCTTTGGAGCCCAGTGTGCAGCAGTAAGCCCTGGCCGGCCGGGGGCCTCGCCGCCTCGTCCCTCTCCCAGCACTCCAGCCCTCGGCAGCAGCTCCCGGCCTTGCTTCCTGCAGGTGTGGCATCGGAGCATGAAGACGGGCCGCCCAGGTATGGTGTAGGAGTCAGGGACTGGGGATGAAGGCTCCCACCACGGCCCCTTAGGGCAGTGGGGCCTCAGCCTCCCTGCTTGGGTCCTGCAGGCTGGGGGGAACGCCATCGGAGAGCTTTGCGCCCCCAGGAGAGGAGGAGGGTGAGGAGGCCGAGGAGGACGAAGAGATGCTGAGTGACGCCAGCCCCTGGACCTACAGCTCCTCCCCAGATGAGCAAGTCGGGCTGAAGGGATGTGGAGCAGGGCTGGGAGGGAGCCGCGGCCCAGAGCTGTGCGCTGCCCAGAGCCTGGTGCGGCCAGGGAGCCGACGGCCCATGTTCTTCGTTCTTTCAGCAGTGACCCTGACGCCCCCAGTCCACGCCCTGCCCCTGTCAGCCACCTGCCGGGGGAAGGGGAGCCAGCCCCAGCCCCCCTTACTGCTCCGTCATCATTGGCATCCACACTCGATTCTGGAACTCCTGTGTCACAAGTCGGAGTACAATCGGAGCCCGACAGGACCCCACAAGCAGCCCACCTAGCAGAGTCCCTGGCCAGGTAACCTGATGCCCAGACATGGGGGCAGGGGCGTTCGAGGGCATGGCTCCCCCTCAAGGCCCCTGCTCCCTCTTTGCTGTGTGTAGCGCTAGAAGCCACTGGAGCCCAGCCTGGGACGCGGACACCTCACAGATTGGTCCCAAGAGAGTTCGGTAGGCCCTGGGACCAGGGATGCTGGCAGGGCCGGGGGAGGAGGGGTGCGGACAGGGGTGGGGAGGGCCAAGGGCAGTGTTGAGTGGCAGGGGAGGCAGGTGAGTCCCCTCTGCTCCCTGTCTCCTCAGGAAAGCTGCCCGCAGGGAGCTCCTGCCTTGCGACTTCCCTGGCTGCGGGAAGATCTTTTCCAACCGGCAGTACCTGAACGTGAGGGCCATGGTGTGGTGGTGTTGGGAGGCCGGGTTGGTGGTGGCACGGGTGCTAGCTGAGGTGGGGAAGGTGGGTGGGAGCCTGCAGAACTCAGGCCGTCAGCTGAGCCCCCGCACCAGTCACCCCTGGCCCTGGGAGGCCCCGCCAGGGCTGGGCGGCAGTGTGTGTGAAGCCTGAGGTCTTACCCAGGCTGCTCAGCTGGCGTGGAGGTGCCTCCCCGTGGCTGCTGGCCTGGGATGTCCTAGAGCGGGAGGTGCAGAGGGGCTGCCGGGCCCCGTAGAGCGAGGTGAGGAACAGCACGGAAGCCCCCGAGTGGCAGGCGGTGGGCTGGCCCGTGTCGGGAGACCAGAGCCATCCTGCTGTGGAAGGTAGCTGGCTGGCAGTCAGGAACCGGGCAGGGAGGCTGGGGAGGGCAGCCGCCTGCGCTGAGCGGCCCTGTGCCTGCCCCAGCACCACAGGAAGTACCAGCACATCCACCAGAAGTCCTTCTGCTGCCCCGAGCCGGCCTGCGGCAAGTCCTTCAACTTCAAGAAACACTTGAAGGAGCATGTGAAGTTGCACAGCAGTGAGTGCCTGGCCTTCCCGCCCCTGCCATGCCTCCTCCCACCCTGCAGCTGCCAGGCACTGGGCCCCTCTGCTGGAGGAATGGGTGGTGGGGGCCTTGGAGCCCACTCGAGGGACAGGCTGGCTCCTGGCTTGCTGTGGGGCCTCAGAGGGCCACCGCTGGCCGAGGAGGGCACAGTCGCTGCTGTAGGAAAGCAGTGGTCAGTACCAGGGGGTTTGCCGGGAGGGGACTTCAGGGTGAGGCTATAGCCATATGGATGGGGCCCAGCAGGGGCAGTGGGGTGCAGTGGAGGGTACCTGATTGCCTGGAAGAAGGGGCCAGGGCCCGCTCATCGGGCATCTTGGAAGATGTCTGGCAGATAGAGACAGGGGTGAACACGTGTTGGCAGAGAAGGGGCTGAGTGTGGCAGCCCTGGGCCGCCTGGACAGGGTATAGCATCTGTCAAGGGCCAGGACAGAAGTGCTGCAGGTGGAGGCGGGGGTAAGAGGGTCAGGCCACCAGCTGTGGCCAGAGTGTCCTCCACTAGAGTCGCAGGGACACTGCAGGGTTGAGGGCCTCATGTTCTGAGGAAAGCCTGGCCAGTGAGATGGATGCATTCTGGGCATGCGCAGATGGGCGGGGCCGACTGAGGTCGGGTGTGTTCTGAGAGGGCCTTAACCCAGTGGGAAGACAAGATGGGCCCAGGGCAAAGGTAGTGAAGGCAGCTTGAGTCGCTGGACCTTTGGACCTGGACAGGCTGAGAGGCCCGGGTGCAGCCAAGAGGCTGGGGGTAGAAGTTTTTGAAATGGCACCAGACTTGGTGTAACCTCGTGGTGGTAGCCCAGGTCAGGGAGGTCAGAAACAGGCCCAGATGTTACGAGTAGCTAGCGGGGGTCCTGAAGTCCCTTGTGTGCACTGAGGGGGAGGACCAGGGGCCAAGGGAGAAAGTGATAGGGTGGTTGCCTGGTGTGGTGGTTTGGGGGGGTGTGATTAGGTGGGAGGTGAGTGTGGTTGGTGGAGGTGTGTGGTTGGTGGGAGGTGAGTGTGGTTGGTGGAGGTGTGGTTGGTGGAAGATGAGTGTGTGGTTGGTGGGAGGCAAGTGTGGTTGGTGGGAGGCGAGTGTGTGGTTGGTGGGAGGTGAGTGTGGTTGGTGGGAGGTGAGTGTGGTTGGTGGAGGTGAGTGTGGTTGGTGGGAGGTGAGTGTGGCTGGTGGGAGGTGTGTGGTTGATGGGAGGTGAGTGTGGCTGGTGGGAGGCGAGTGTGGTTGGTGGGAGGCGAGTGTGGCTGGTGGGAGGCAAGTGTGGTTGGTGGGAGGTGAGTGTGTGGTTGGTGGGAGGTGAGTGTATGGTTGGTGGAGGTGAGTGTGGTTGGTGGGAGGTGAGTGTATGGTTAGTGGGAAGTGAGTGTGGTTGGTGGTGAGTGTGGCTGGTGGGAGGCGAGTGTGGCTGGTGGGAGGCGAGTGTGGGTGGGAGGCGAGTGTGACTGGTGGGAGGTGAGTGTGGCTGGTGGGAGGCGAGTGTGGTTGATGGGAGGCGAGTGTGGTTGGTGGGAGGTGTGTGGTTGATGGGAGGTGAGTGTGGTTGATGGGAGGCGAGTGTGGTTGGTGGGAAGCGAGTGTGGCTGGTGGGAGGTGAGTGTGGTTGGTGGGAGGCGAGTGTGGCTGGTGGGAGGCGAGTGTGGCTGGTGGGAGGCGAGTGTGGCTGGTGGGAGGCGAGTGTGGTTGGTGGGAGGTGAGTGAGTGGTTGGTGGGAGGTGAGTGTGGTTGGTGGAGGTGAGTGTGGCTGGTGGTCAGAGTTTAAGGGGCACAAGGCCCTCTTTGGTCACTGGTGAAGGGAGAGATGCAGGGACAGAGGAGGTGCCAGACAGGTGGCTCTGCTCAGGGAGGGGAGGAGAGCCAGGCATGCATGAGCCCTGGAGGGGCGGAGCCTGCAGCTGAGCAGGGAGGTGACTCCAGGTGCTCAAGGGAATCTGGGGGCCGGGTCTCCAGCCCTGTCCTGTCCCCTCCCACCAGCAGGCGTGGCAGTCTGTGGAGCTTGGGCTGCAGCTCTAACTCCCACCCCCAACTGCAGGCTTGTGAATGGCTGCTGCCTGGCACCTCCTGTCTTCATGCGAACACCGAGCTTAGCGGGCACCTGCCCTAGGAGCTCAGGGTGGGCCTGGGGTGCCACATCTGTGTTCATGCCTCATTCAGCTGTTGTGACTCCTCCCAGGTCCCTGATGGGGACCCCAGCCTTGGGTCCTGGTGCATGTCTGTGGCGTGGGGGAAGGAGGTGGGTGGGGTGAGCGCACCCCACATGGCCTGTGTCTGTGCCTGCAGACACCCGGGACTACATCTGTGAGTTCTGTGCCCGGTCCTTCCGAACCAGCAGCAACCTGGTCATCCACAGACGCATCCACACGGGAGAGAAGCCCCTGCAGTGAGTGGGCTGGCCGTGGGTGGGGGCTGGGACCCCTCGCTGCCTCCCCTCCCATCCGCATGGGAGGGAAGCCCCTGCAGTGAGTGGGCTGGCCGTGGGTGGGGGCTGGGACCCCTGGCTGCCTCCCCTCCCATCCTTGGCTGCAGGTGTGAGATCTGTGGGTTCACCTGCCGCCAGAAGGCCTCGCTCAACTGGCACCGGCGCAAGCACGCCGAAACAGCAGCCTCCCTGCGCTTCCCCTGTGAGTTCTGTGGCAAGCGCTTCGAGAAGCCGGACAGCGTTGCTGCCCACTGCAGCAAAAGCCACCCAGCCGCATCCCCGGCCCCCCAGGATCTGTCCCGGCCTGGGCTATGCGCTGCCCACTGTGCCCCCGAGCCTCCAGGCTCTGCTGAGGGACCCTCCCAGGCGCCAACCCTGCTTCCTCAGCAGTGAGCTCTTCTCTCAGCTCTGGGGAGCTGGACCCCTGGCACGGAAAGGGTCCAGGAGCAGAAGGCCCAGAAGAGCAGGCCAGTTGCCTGGTCCCCGAGGCCAAGGCCACAGTGAGAGCAGAGCAGGTGTGGCCTTGGTCTCCGGAAAGGACAGAATAAATGGCGTTGTACCTGGGCGCGTGTGGCAGAGTGAGTTTTTGGGGTCCCGGGGGTGCAGGTCTTCCCCTCCTCCCCCTCAGGGCCAGTGGCCAGCCTTGCTTTTCCTGTCTGTTCTGGCACTCCACGTGGAACCATGCAGAGGGGCCCATAGAGCAGGAGCGGGCAGAGCGGGTCCTGCGCTGCCCTGGGGAGGGACGGGGATGGTGAGCCACCAGCAGCTGGCTCTTGGATCCCCGGGCTCTGTGAAGACAGTGGCCAGGGCTCTTGGCTCTCGTGCCCCAGCAGCCAGTCTATTTTACCAGCCGCCACAGAAGGTCCCACACAACCGTAGGCCCCTCCTCTGGTCTTCCCCTCCGGCTTAGATGTTTCTGCCACTGTGCTGGCCCTGGGCCCAGCTTTGTAGACTCACATGGTCTGGCTGGGGAAGGCTGACCTTGACCAAACAGGCCCCTGGCTCTGCCCTCTGGTTCTCAGAAGCAGCAGGAGTCACTGGTGAGACCAAGGGGGAGGACCGCCGGCCAGGTGAAACCTGATGGACGCCTGAGGAGGAGGAGGGACAGCAGGTACGGGGAGGGACAGGAGTGAGGACAGGGACAGGAGGAGGGACAGCAGGTACAGGGGAGGAGCAGGAGGACAGGGTCGGGAGGGGGGGACAGCAGGTACGGGGAGGAACAGGAGGACAGGGTCGGGAGGAGGGACAGCAGGTACAGGGGAGGGGCAGTAGTGAGGACAGGGACTGGAGGAGGGACAGCAGGTACGGGGAGGGGCAGGAGTGAGGACAGGGACAGGAGGAGGGGACAGCAGGTGCAAGGTGAGCTTGGGGCACACAGGGATGCCTTCCTTGCTGCACTTGGGTAACTTGTTTGCTTTGTACCTGGGGTGGTTGCAGGTGCACACTGAGGTTCAACACGCAGGTGAATTGCTTGCTGCACAGCTGCAGCCCTAGGGCTTCTCCCCCGTGTGTGTGCCGATGCTGGTCCGAGCGGTCACTGAAGCCCAGGCCGCACTGGGGCACAGGAAGGGCTTGGTGTGCACTGGGAGCTGTAGCCCGCGCACAGGAAGTGTTTGAGGAAACCCAAACTACTGCTCCTTGGGTTTGCAAGGAACATCCACCAGAGCCTCAAAGGGAAGTGCAGCTAAGGACCCAGGAAGTGGGCCGGAGTGTGCCTGGCTGGCTCACAGCAAGTGCCAGTGGTGGATGTGTGCCTGTCCGCATGGTCAGGAAAGGCAGGGGACCAAAGGCATGCCCGCTGGAAGTCAGGCTGCCGGCATGTCCCCTCCTGCCCAGTCCCGGGGAGCTGAGCATGCCACCCAGTGTGCTCTGCATCCACTAACATCAGATGGCGCCCCTCTTCCCCCCTCCACCCCGCAGACCCACAGATGTCTGGGAGAAGGACGGCTGGTCAGCCATGAAGGGACACAGGCCACACAACCGCTGTTTCCTTCCAGGACACAGAGCTGCCCTAGCCCAGCTCAGTGGGCACCGGAGACCAGGGAAAGCGCTTAGTTCTGCCCTGTGTCCCAGGTCCCCAACAGCTGTCAGCAGTCACTTCCTTGTCAGTAGCTGGAAATTCACCCCACCAGCCCCAGGGGTGCAAAAGGGGCTGGTGAAACAGGCTTTAAGACAGCACATCTGCGGGCCCGGTGCGGTGGCACAGTGGTTAAGGTCCTCACCTTGCACGCCCGGGATCCCATATGGGTGCCGGTTCCAGCTCCCTGCCTGTGGTCCGGGAAAGCATTCGAGGACGGCCCAAAGCTTTGGGACCCTGCACCTGCGCAGAAGACCCAGAAGAGGCTCCTGGCTTCGGGATCGGCATTGCATCGGCCGTTTCGCTCACTTGGGGAGTGAATCATCGGACAGAAGATCTTCCTCTCTGTATATCCGCCTTTCCGATAAAAATAAAATAAATCTTTAAAAAAAAAAGCACATCTGCAGGGGTGAGCTCTGCGGGGGAGTGGGGCCCCAGCGTGGGCAGTGGGGCGCCTGCCCTGCGGGGGAGTGGGGCCTCAGCGTGGGCAGTGGGCGCCTGCCCTGCAGGTGAAGGAAGAGGCCCAGTAAAAGGTGATGGGGAATTCAGAGAACAAGTAAACTCCCTGGGGTCGGCAGACTTAAGCTGCCAGTCTGACTGACACACATTAATAGGTGATTTTATATTACATATTTCTGGGAGCAAGTTTGAACCTGATTAAAAAATAAAGCTTTATGAAGGTAACATTTGTGTCCCCAGAACTTCTCACTAAAATCGTGACAGGAACGCAGCAACAACCCACAGCTGCCTCGGCCGCCCTGCCCTGCCACCCAGGGCAGCCACAGATCTGCTGTCACCTTTTACCTGGCTAACGGTCAGTCAGCAGTTGACATTGGTGTTAAATATTTCAGTGATGGAAAGGAAAAAGAATGTAAAAGGGCACTTTGTATTATAAAAAAATAAACAAAACATTTTTAAAGATTTATTTATTTTTATTGTAAAGTCAGATTTACATACAGAGAGGAAGATCTTCCGTCCGATGAAGCTCTTCCTTCCGATGATTCACTCCCCAAGTGACTGCAACGGCCGGTGCTGTGCCGATGAAGCCAGGAGCCCCTCCTGGTCTCCCATGTGGTTGCAGGGTCCCAAGGCTTTGGCCCGTCCTCGACTGCCTTCCCAGGCCACAGGCAGGGAGCTGGACGGGAAGCGGGGCTGCCGGGATTAGAACCAGCGCCCATATGGGATCTGCCAGGCCCAACAAAAAATGTTTTATGAAATGTTTGGTGCCCGGCACAATGACTGTCTAAATTCTCGCCTTACAAGTGCTGGGATCCCATCGGCACCGGTTTGTGTCCCAGCTGCTCCGCTTCCCTTCCGGGGGAAGGGAACAGCAGTTGGTGGCCTGGGACAGCAGTCGAGGATGGTCTGATGCCTTGGGACCCTGCAGCTGCATGGGAGACTGCGACGGACGGGCTCGGCCAGGAGCAATCAGTCCGACGGGAACAGGACCCCGGGAACGGTGGGCAAGGATTCGGCGAGTGACAAACAGACACGACAACTCAAGGAAGTTGCATCTGAGTGCATTTTGCAAAAGCAAGGCATCAGCTTATATACAATAGATTATTGCAAAAGAACATTTTTCTTTGTTTTTACATGTGGTTACATTTCCAGGGAGGTAAACAGGTGTGTTGAGCAAAGATTGTTCTCTAACAGCCCGGTGACAGACTGCATTTGCTATTTCTTGTGGACGCAGTTTGGCACCAGTTGCAGTTTTAATCATTAAGTAGTTAGCCCTCATTGTGTTTTGTGCCTTACACTGGTTTTAATATTAACTTGCCTATATTTCTTGTTTTTCTTCTTGTATGGCTTCTTAAGCTATAGTTTTCTACTATAATCTCTTTTCTAGAAATTCTCAAAATTAATCCTAAATAGATTCACTAAAACTAACAACTTAATAGTTTTTATCTCAGACTGTTTGCTATTCTTATCCAATCTCCTGTCAGAAGGCTTCATAGATTTATAAAGAAACATCGAGCCTTTGCCGCACATAAATAGTATTATTCCAGTCATATAGATAAAAGCAAAGAGAGTACAGTTAGAAGCGCCAAGACTACTAGAGATGCAGCCGATTCCGGGAGGCATCCTTCCTTGAAGCTTACGCCTCGGTCCGGCGATTTCTCAAGCCGGCTTCTACCGGAGGTGGCGTGACAGGAGACCTGGAAGAAGCCCCTGGCATCTGGATCGGCCACCTGGGGAGTGAACCAGCGGATGGAGGGTCTCCCTGTCTCGCCTCTCCGTGAATCTGGTCTGTCTCTCGCAGTGCACAGTAGCAGGATCCTGGCTAGGACACGGAGACATGACTAGAACCTCAGAGGACCTAGGTGCTCTTGTGGCAGCCGACCTCCGCACTAGCTAGCAGTTTTTAATGACACTAACTTAGGGTACTTATGAGAAATGTGAAACACCAGCACACATTCAGGAAGGAATTTACATTACAGTTGATCTGTGACAGCACTTGGTGGCATTGCTAATATCGATCCATAGCTTCAGTATGTTCCAATTTGCTCATGTCAATCACTAGGGTGGGACGGCTGTGCCCCCTCACGGCAGGGAGACCTCTGAGACCTGTTACCCTGTTGTACTAGCCACATGTGCCTTCCCTGACTGCAAGGGCGAGTGGAGCTGCGCTGGACAAGGCAGACATGGGCCTTGCACCACTGTTCATAGTGTTAGAGAGAGAGAACTTCAACCCTTGGTTCACTTCCCCAAGGGTCACAGGCCTATGCTGACCCAAAACCAGGAGCTTGTGGGTCTCCCAGGTCCATCTTCCACTGCTTTCCCAGGACTTAGCAGGGACCTGAAATGGCGCCCAGATAGGATGCCGGTGTTTGCAGGTGTTTCCAAGGCCCCAAGCGGAGCTGGTCTGTAAGCCTGGGCTATGTCATCTGTTGTGGCTGTGTTCCTCTCTGTCTCTGCTCTCTGTATGCAGGGTCTGCCTGAGACACTCCATCTGAGAAGTGATGCAGGTCAGGCGTGGGCAATGTCCTCTAGCTACCGTGGCACAGTCAAGGAGAGAAGGCATGAGAGCAGCTTTGGGCCTGGTGAGCAGTGGGCGGCCCTGGGACAGGCCATGACATGGGGCAGGCTACTGGGGATGGGCTCTGTGCCACCCAGGGCAGGGGATGGGCTCCACGGAGAGTGCAGGAGCTGGGATGGGGCGAGGGCACACTGGGGAACAGGGCAGTGCTGGCCAGGGGACTCTTTAAAAGCCAACCTGCTCATGAGGGGTTGGTGAGGGGGCACATCATGTTACATTGCAAGCTGTATCCCAGCTGCTCCACTTCCCATCCAGCTCCCTGCTTGTGGCCTGGGAAAGCAGTTGAGGACAGCCCAAGGCCTTGGGATGCTGCACCCGTGTGGGAGACTGGGTGAGGCTCCTGGCTCCAGCCCATTACAGTGCTGTCCATTGCAGCGAGCCTGCAGATCTCTCTCCGTCACCGTTTCAAACTAAATAAATAAACCTTAGGAAAACTTGTCAGTGCACCTGCTGTACAGTGTGGGCAAAGATTTTCCTCTGAGACTTTTCTTGCTTATTTTCACACACATGTGCACGGACGGCAGAGCAGGACAGGTAGCACTGTCCCCCTTGTTCCGGCGGCTTCAGATGACCAGCTCCGTGGGAACCGCGATCAGGTCCCTTCCGTCACTGCTGTCCCCGATCCTGGCACCCATCGATCCTCCATAATAAAGGGGGGCACGCAGGGGCCAGCGGGACCCACAGTGGGCGGCGGGGGAGCGGCGGGGGAAGAGAGGCCTGGGTGCACACACGCCTGGTCGGTGCGCCAGGCAGAGCCCACAGCAGTTCCCGCCGAGCCGGGGGGCGGTCACCCCGACAGGGATCCGGCGGGCAGGAGGGCGGTCACCCCGACAGGGACAGACAAGGACCCGGCGTGTCTGGGGGGCGGTCACCCCGACAGGGACAGACAAGGACCCGGCAGGCAGGAGGGCGGCCACCCCGACAGGGACCCGGTGTCTCTGGGGGGCGGTCACCCCAACAAGAACCCGGAGGGCTGGCGGGCGTGAGGGGGCGCCGGCCCCCAGCACGGGGCGGGAGGGAGCCAGGGCGTGAGGTCGGGCAGGGAGCGCAGCTCACCCACGCCGCTAAGGGCCACGCAGTCCATCGGACAGAAGCCACGCTGGAAGCGCCGCGACCCCAACCTCAGCACCCGCGCACCTGCAAGAGGCTCCGGAAGCCCGCGCCGGCCAGGCCGGAAGTCTCCGGGACCGTACGGCAAGATGGCGACCCCGGCTCTGCGGCTGCTATGGCCTCACCTGTCCCCTTTCGAGCATGTCTCTGCTCTCACCCAGCAGCGTCACCTCATCACCGTCCGCCCACATTGTCCTTTCTGTCAGCACTGGCGGGAACTGGCTAACAGGCGACACTCGACAAGGCAGGGCGCCGTTCCGTACGGAAAGTGGAAGAAGGCCGGGGCGGGGGCGCGGTTGCGCCGTGAGCTATTTCCGCTTCCGCCCGACCCCGTCGTTTTGGTTGGGCCGGCTTGTTTGCAGCCGCAGAGTTCCGCGCCCGGGAAGGTAAACTGAGGTACGGGCGCGCGGGAGCCCCGGGCGGCGTCCGCGCGGGTCGGCCGGGCTGGGGTCGGGGCGGGAGCCGGGGGGCCCGGTGGGACCCTGATCCCTGAGCGCCGCGGTGTGGGTGGAGGTGGGCGCCGGGGTGTGCGGTCCGCGGGGTGGACACGGCCTTTCTGCCCTCGCAGCTCCCCGCAGCCTCCGCCTGGGTCCGGCCTTCCCTGTCCAGCTGCCGCCGCGGTCTGGGGGCGCCCGCCTCCACCCTCCCGAATGGTGCTCCTGCTCGCAGGCCTCGGCCCAGGACGCAGGCCCCCCGCGCGCCCCGTGCGCCCCGTGCGCCCTGCCCCGGAGCTGCCGGGTGCGCGCCCGGCCCCGCGGAGGGAAGCCGGCTGCAGCAAGCCCGCCGGCGGCCGGCGTCTGGCCCTGTAACCGCGGGCGGGCCTCCCCCTCGGGTCTCCCTCCGGCCGCCCCTCGCTGCCCCGCGCCTCCCAGAGCCTCACGCTGGGGCCCTGGGCCCGGCATGGCGGACCTCTCCTGTGCATAGTGCTCTGCCGGCTCGCGGTCAGCATGGCCGAGCACAGACAGGCTTCAGGGGGGCGGGAGACCCCGCAGGGGGAGCTGCGGCCCGAGCTGGTGGAGGATGAAGGCCCCAGGAGCCCGGCGGCCGAGGAGCCCGGAGGAGCCGGCGGCGGCGAGGCCAAGCTGTCCCCGAGGGAGGAGGAAGAACTGGACCCTAGGATACAGGTGAGAGCGGGGCTGTACTGCGGCCGGGTGGGGTCTGAGGCCTGGGCCTCCGTGCCAGGCGGGAAGGGGTCCAGCACGGGCTGGGCGGGAGGCGGGCAAGGCCAGGCTGAGGTCCTGAAGGCAGGGCCCGTGGGCTGCCGTGGGTGCCTGTCTGTGTGCATCTTGGGGGTGGGCTGTGGTGGCCTGTGGGCAGCGGGCGTGCCCAGGGCTCCTCTGGCAGCAGAACTTTATGAGGTTGCTCCAGCCAGTGGGGAGGGATCAAAGACAGTGAGGGCGTCCTTCTGGCGTGGTTGTGTGTTTGGTGATGCTGAGCCTTGCCGAGCCCCGTGTCCCCGTCCGAGTGGGTTCCCGTTTGTGTTGGGTCTCCCGGGCAGCTTGTCCCCCAGCGTGAGGATCTGTTGTCCACGAGGAGACAGGCCTTGGCTGGGAATCGGGCAGCCCAGCCGGGCTGGGATTGCTGGGGCCAGGCTGCAGAGGGGCAGCCCCGCGCAGCTGTCATGCCATGCATGGTGCGGCCAGTGCTGTGGCCTCTGCAGGCCTTCGTTCAGCATCTGCTTGCCCGGTGATGAGGCTGCCTGTGCCTGGAGCACCCTTCACGGCCAGGCTTGCACTTCGCTGTTCAGTGTTGGGTTCCTCTTCCAGTAGGCACTGAGGTTAAGGAGAGTGAGGTCAGCCTGCTGGGGACAGCGCACAGAGGGCATCACCGAACAGGTGCACATCTTGTCCAGTGGGTTGGGTGCGTCCCCACCCACAGGCCCATTCCAGCACACCAGGAAGGCTTAGCGTGGGCAGGCAGGGTGGGGCCTGCTGGGTCAAGATGTCCCGAAGGTGGGGGCGGACTGCATGGGGGCCAGACTCCTGAGTTGAGGTTGTGCAGGCAGTGCCTCCCCCCATGTCTGCTGGGCACTGTGTGGGAGTGGCCAGGAGGCCATCTGGTGCCCACCTCTTGTGTGTCCCAGAGAAGGGCACAGGCCCTGTGTGCCTCCTGACCCCTCACTGGGACCCTCTGTGTTCTCCAGGGTCCTGACTGAGAGGGTCCCAGGCAAGCAAAATGGGGAGATGAGTGTGGGGCTGGTGTGGCCTGGGGCTGCTCCCCTGGGGTCTGCCTCCTTGGCGTGGGGCCCTCACAGAGGTGTACAAGTGCTGGTTGGCTCTCCTGGGACAGTCAGCCGGCAGCCTGGACACCGCACTGGGTGGGGCCTGGGCTGTGTGGCCTGGCAGCCGTGGAATGCATCCGTGTGCTCATGCTGACTCAGGCCCTGGCCTCCTGGGCAGCCCTGTAGCTGAGCCCCCCAGGAATGCTCTCCGGGCTGCCCTGTAGCTGAGCCCCCAGGAATGCTCTCCCAGGCTGCCCTGTAGCTGAGCCCCCCAGGAATGCTCTCCCAGGCTGCCCTGTAGCTGAGCCCCCCAGGAATGCTCTCCCAGGCTGCCCTGTAGCTGAGCCCCCCAGGAATGCTCTCCAGGCTGCCCTGTAGCTGAGCGCCCCAGGAATGCTCTCCCAGGCTGCCCTGTAGCTGAGCCCCCCAGGAATGCTCTCCCAGGCTGCCCTGTAGCTGAGCCCCCCAGGAATGCTCTCCCAGGCTGCCCTGTAGCTGAGCCCCCCAGGAATGCTCTCCGGGCTGCCCTGTAGCTGAGCCCCCAGGAATGCTCTCCCAGGCTGCCCTGTAGCTGAGCCCCCCAGGAATGCTCTCCCAGGCTGCCTGTAGCTGAGCCCCCCAGGAATGCTCTCCCACTCTGCCCTGTAGCTGAGCCCCAGGAATGCTTTCCCGCTCTGCCCTGCAGCTGAGCCCCTCAGGAATGCTCTCCTAGGCTGCCCTGGGCAGGCTCCAGCCTGGCGTCCTGGCCCTCAGGCTCCTGTGTTCCCCAGGCGACCTGCAGCTGGCCTCACGTTCAGGTGCGTCTTGATGGAGGTGCTGGCGGTGCGCTGGCTCCCATGGAGAGCTGCTGCCTGCTGCTGCTGCTGCCCACCTGGTCTTTTTCTGAGGGGTACAGCCTAGGCTGAGGCAGGCCTGTCCTCAGGATCGGCTGCAAATGTGATGGGCTATGGAGGCAAGTGGGCTCTGACCTTGAAGCTCCATTGCTGCCAAGAGCACAGCTGCGGCCTCTGGCCACTGCCTGCTGACCACTGCCTGCTGGCCCTGCCTGCTGGTTACTGCCTGCTGGCCCTGCCTGCTGGTTACTGCCTGCTGGCCCTGCCTGCTAACCCTGCCTGCTGGTTACTGCCTGCTGGCCCTGCCTGCTGACCCTGCCTGCTGGTTACTGCCTGCTGGCCCTGCCTGCTGACCCTGCCTGCTGGTTACTGCCTGCTGACCTTGCCTGCTGGTTACTGCCTGCTGACCCTGCCTGCTGGTTACTGCCTGCTCTCCCTGCCTGCTGGCCACTGCCTGCTCTCCCTGCCTGCTCTCTCTACCTGCTGGCCCTGCCTGCTGGCCACTGCCTGCTGACCCTGCCTGCTGGCCACTGCCTGCTGGTCCTGCCGGCATGTGTGCTTGGGGCAGCCTCAGTACCGCAGGTGCTCAGAGTCAGAAAAGGGAGGTTGGTGCCCTTACCACTGGTCAGCCTCCCTGCGCCCTGTCCGCTGTCTGTGGACGCAGCAGGACTGGCTTCTCCTCTTTGGAGCCGAGCGGCTGCCAGGCCCTGCTCCTTGATGGTAGTCCTTTGGGGGCTCCCAGCAGTGGGTGCGATGGCATGGGCACAGCTCCTGGCTGTCCTGGGGTCTGTGGGCCTTGTTGGCTACACTGGCTCAGGGGGGCGTGCTGTTTTGTTGTGGACACTGACTCAGCTTTGCGCCCACACTAACTTCTCCAGTACAGGAGGTGCTGTCTGTACTGAGCTTTGGCCTAAGGACCAAATGAGTGTTTTTCCTTGTTTTAAGACTCATTCATTTATTTGAAAGAGAGAGTGGTGAGGGAGAGGGGGACATATCCGTTGTCCTCTGGCTCACTCCCACATGGCTGGGCCAGGCACAAGCCAGGAGCCCGGGCCTCCCTCGCGTGTCCCATGTGAGCCCAGGCACTTGGGCCGTTCTCTGCTAGCTTGCCAGGTGCGAGCAGGAAGTTGGATCGGAAGGGAGCATGTGACAGGGGCTGCTGCCATTACAGGCAGGGGCTTACGGAGCCAGCACGCTGGCCCCTGCTGTGGGTCTTAACTTTTAAAAAAAATAAACATATGTTTAATAGTATTACTTCATGTTTAATGTATGCCCAAATGATAATACTGTGCATATGTTGGGTTAAATGAAATAAATGTTGCGATTTCGCCCGTTTGCTGCTTTGGAAGTGACCTTAATGGCCCCGGGCATCCTTGTGCTGGGCAGCCCTGGTGAGGAGAGCTCTGGGCAGAACCCCGGGCCACCTTTGCCAAGGCAGGATCGTGGCGGGGCCATGCTGGCAGCAGGCGGAAGTGAATGCTGTTTCTTGTATGTGATGCGGCTGCCATCCTGGCTGGTTGGGTCTGAAAGTGAAGGACCAAGAAGCTCTCCAAGGCGTGTCCTTTTGCAGCCTGCCAGCCAGGCCGGGGAGCCAAGGAGCAGGTGAGGGCAGGAGTGGGGCAGGATGGTGGTGTCTGGATGGCCAGCTCAGGCTGGTTGGGTGAGGGCCCCTCCGGCAGGGCCCTTGGCACAGGGTGGTCCTTGGAGTGTCAGCTCTCCAGTGGGAGCTTGGGAGTTTTCTTGGGCAGGGAGGATAGCTCAACCCAGTGCCCAGCTCCCTGCCACTTCAGCCTGAGCTGGTCCCTCCTCCCATGACATGTGCTGTGTCAGGGCCTAGAGTTGCTGTCACCTGTAGCTCGGGTTGACTCTGCAGGGCCTGGCCCTTGCTGGCTGTGACCTGAGCGCCCACTGCGTGTCGGGAGTCTGCGCTGCCCAGCCGGACAGCCTTCCCTCCTGTCCCTGGGCTTCTGGGCATGGTCCTCCTTGCTTGACTGCCTTCCTGCTCCACCAACGGCCTGGCACCAGGCTCTGGGGCCCTGTGCCCCTGGGAAGGGGCCGTGTCTCCCCCCAGCCCTCGGATCTCGCCTGCGACTCGCCCCCCGTCCCTGTTTCCTGTGTCTGCTCTGTCGAGGCCTGCCTGGGAAGCAGCAGCCCTGAGAGTGCCCCACATCCTGCACACCCCCAGAGGGCCTGCTGCCTTCCTGCCAGGTTTCCTCCATGCCCTGAGTGGTCCCCCTGTGCAGGGTGACTTCTGGGTAGCACGTGCAGGAAGCGTGGCTGGAGGGCCTGCCACGGAGCAGGAGGGTTCCTGGGCGCCGTGTTGTGCAGGGTGGTCTGCCTTCTCCAGGCCTCAGGTGGGAATGCCCTGGGTTGGAGGTGTAAGGATGGCAGGAGGCTGCGTCCTGGGTCTCTGCTGAGGAGGCCTTCGGCTGCCCCTCACAGCTGGGTGTCCTCTGCGTCCTTTCTTGGGCTCTGACTCGCCCCACTGTGCGGCAGGAGGAGCTGGAGCACCTGAACCAGGCCAGCGAGGAGATCAACCAGGTGGAGCTGCAGCTGGACGTGAGTGTCCCTGGGGACTCCTCTGCCCTCCCGTGCTGAGACAGGGTGGGCCGGGCTGGTTTGAAATGCAGGAGAGGCCAGCCCCCACACCTGCCTCTCCCACCTTGTCCCATTGCCAGGAGGCCAGGACCACATATCGGAGGATCCTGCAGGAGTCGGCCAGGAAGCTCAATGCCCAGGGCTCCCAGCTTGGGAGCTGCATCGAGAAGGCCCGGCCTTACTACGAGGCCCGACGGCTGGCCAAGGAGGTACGGCCCTCAGGGTCCCCTTGGGCAGCCCCTGTCCTCACTGCCTTAAGGACTGGGTCTGTTTCTGCAGCTGCTTTTGCTCATGCCTTGTCCTGTACCCTCCCCCCTTATATAAATCATTCCTGTTCCACATTGGAAGGCTGGGTTAGAGTGACAAGAAGAAAGCAGGCTCACTCCTAACCCTGTGCTGCACGTTCCATGCCTGCTGAGCCTGGGGCCTGCTGTACTCTGAGGGCTGAGTGACAGCACAGGGTAAATTCATGAGGCTTATCCCACCAGAGGGGGCCTGGTGGGGTGCAGGCACGTCAGGGTCAGGAGCCGGAGGAGGGCCTGCTGGACCACGGGCACGTTGGGGTCGGCAGCCAGGAAGGAGGCTTAGCTCAGATCCTCTGCTGCATGGGCAGGGCAGGTGGGCTTTGAAATCCGAGCAGGGTGCTCTGTGCTTAGAGGTGGCCTCCAGCTCTCCTGGTTCCTGGTCCTGGTGGTGTTGGCAGAGGGGGTGTTGGCTTGGTGTGAGTAAGGTAAAGGAAGTGGTCGAGGATCTAGGATCTGGGCCCTGGACGGGTCAGTGTCTGGTCAGGACGGGCTGACCATGGTGTACTTCCTAGGAAGTGGTCAGCCCTGCCGGGGCAGCCTCTCCTTGGCCACTAAGGCCCCTCAGTGTTTAAGTGTTGTTAACATATAGAAGATTGAAGAGTTAGTACTGCACCAGTAGCCCTTTGCGAAGTCGCTGTAGCATGTGCTCTGCCAAGGTGGACTGTGTGCTGCTCTTGCTGCTGTGTTTTGCTGAGCTTGGGGACTTGTGGGCAGTGCGTGCAGAGCGTGTGGCCGGAGGGAGGGCCTGCAGCAGAGCACCCTGTGCTGGATCTCAGTTCTCCCTGGATGAAGGGATGTGGACTTTGATGAGCTGACTCCAGGCCGTGATAGCAGTCTCTGCCTTCTCCACCTCTGCCTCCACTGCCTCTTCTTCCTCCTCCTCTGCCTCCTCTTCCTCCTCCCCTCCTGATCCTGCGCCTCCTCCTCCTCCTGCTGGTCCATGTCCTCAGGAAGGACCCTTTGAAAGCATCTGCCTCTGTAGCGTCCATCCTGAGCATCGTCAGGGAAACTCTGTTGCTAGTTGGTCTTCCTCCCCCCTTGTCCTTGTGCCCTGGGTGGGTGTTGTTGGCGGGACCCCCACAGTGCTCCCTGTGCCAATAGCCTGTGCCCGCAGGCCCAGCAGGAGACGCAGAAGGCGGCCTTGCGGTACGAGCGAGCCGTGAGCATGCACAATGCCGCCCGCGAGATGGTGTTTGTGGCAGAGCAGGGCGTCATGGCCGACAAGAACCGCCTGGACCCCACGTGGCAGGAGATGCTCAACCACGCCACCTGCAAGGTGAGGCAGAGCCTGTGCTTCCTGTGCGTTCCTTTCCTGTCCCGTGCCGCCCTTGCCTTTGAGTCCTTCTCAGGCCCCCTCCCCGTTTGGTTTCTGATGCTTCCACAGACCATTCCCTCTGACTTGGAACGCCATCCTGGGCTGCCAGCAGGGGCCCAGCCCTCAACTAGCCCTGGTTTCCCCAAGGAGCCATTGGAAGGGGGAACGGGGCAGTGGGGTCTCTGGCACTTGTGGTGTGCAGGTCGAGGGTCAGCTCCTGGCCACCTGTCCTGGGATTCCCTGCCCGCCAGATGGCCCCTCTGCTTTGTGGGCCCTGCAAACTGGAGCACATCTGGGGAGGGGTCGGGGAGGGAGCTCCTGGGGGCTGGGGAGAGCTCTGTGGGGTGGGGTGGAGAAATGAAGGAGCCCTGTGGGGGAAGCATTGAGGAGCGTCGGTGTTACAAGGCTGCCCAGGGATCAGCACAGCCCACCGCTCTGGTAGACCGGGTGGCAGGGATATCACTGCCCTGCTCAGCTGTGTCCCTGGGCTTTGCATAATTGAAGTGTGAGAGCCTAGGCCACAGCTGCGACTCCCCACACGGTACACCTGCCGTCCTTGACCCCTAACTGCTGATGCGCAAGGTGCTCACAGGATAGCGAGTGAGCTGAGTGGGGGTGTGGGATGGTGCCGGTGGCACCACACCCTGTGCCCAGGACCCAGTCCTAGGGGGTCATGAGGTCCGCAGGTCCAGCGGAGATGGAAAGAAGTTCACCAGCCAAGGCCTCCTGTGTCCTGGGTGTGGCAGGTGATGCAGGGTGAGGGTTTGCAAAGGACTTTCCTGTCCAGGTGCCCAGGTGGCTCCAGATGGGCACCTGGAGCAGAAGCCAGGGACTAGAGTGAGGGTCCCAGCCTGGCGCTGTGATGTGTCCTCTGTCCCACTGTGCAGGTGAATGAGGCAGAAGAAGAGCGGCTCCGGGGCGAGCGGGAACATCAGCGGGTGACGCGGCTGTGCCAGCAGGCTGAGGCACGAGTCCAGGCCCTGCAGAAGACCCTCCGGCGGGCCATTGGCAAGAGCCGCCCCTACTTCGAGCTCAAGGCCCAGTTCAGCCAGATCCTAGAGGTAGCTGAATGGGAGGCTGAGGAGTGAGGGCAGCTGGGCAGGGGTGGGGAGTGAGGGCAGCTTGGGGAATGGGGAGTGAGGGCAGGTGGGCAGGGGTGGGGAGTGAGGGCAGCTTGGGGAATGGGGAGTGAGGGCAGCTGGGCAGGGGTGGGGAGTGAGGGCAGCTTGGGGAATGGGGAGTGAGGGCAGCTGGGCAGGGGTGGGGAGTGAGGGCAGCTTGGGGAATGGGGAGTGGGGGCAGCTGGGCAGGGGTGGGGAGTGAGGGCAGCTGGGAGGGTGGGGAGTGAGGGCAGCTTGGGGAATGGGGAGTGAGGGCAGCTGGGCAGGGGTGGGGAGTGAGGGCAGCTGGGAGGGTGGGGAGTGAGGGCAGCTTGGGGAATGGGGAGTGAGGGCAGCTGGGGCGCGCTGCTGTGCCCCTCTAGGATGTCCTGAGGGGGCACAAGGTAGGGATGGGGATCGCTGTGCTCAGAGATCCCTCAAGGCAGGAGTGCAAGGTAACCTGGGCCTGGGGGAGGCAGGCAAGAGGGGCCCATGTGTCGAAAGTGGGGCTGGCAGGACAGTGGGCATGGACAGCCTGGGGGAGGGTGGTGGGTTGGGGCTGAGGGAGGGGCTGGCAGGGCAGCGGGCACGGACAGCCTGGGGGAGGGTGGTGGGTTGGGGCTGAGGGAGGGGCTGGCAGGACAGCGGGCACAGACAGCCTGGGGGAAGGTGGTGGGTTGGGGCTGAGGGAGGGGCTGGCAGGACAGTGGGCACAGACAGCCTGGGGGAAGGTGGTGGGTTGGGGCTGAGGGAGGGGCTGGCAGGACAGTGGGCACAGACAGCCTGGGGGAAGGTGGTGGGAGGCTTCGGGCTGCTCCGGGAGAGGCCACCGGCCACCGCAGTCTTGCCCCCTAACCCTAATCCTGCCCTGCCCTGCCCTCTGCAGGAGCACAAGGCCAAGGTGACAGAGCTGGAGCAGCAGGTGGCCCAGGCCAAGACCCGCTACTCGGTGGCCCTGCGCAACCTGGAACAGATCAGTGAACAGATCCACGCACGCCGGCGGGGCCTGTCTGTCCACCCTCCTGTCCTCCCTCCCGGGCCACGGCGCTCCTCCCCAGTGGGCGCTGAGGACGGGGACAGTGGGATTGAGGGTGCTGAGGGGGCAGGGCTGGAGGAGGGCGGCAGCCTGGGGCCTGGTGCTGGCCCTGACATGGACACCCTGAGTCTGCTGAGCCTGCGCACCGTGGCCTCTGACCTGCAGAAATGCGACTCGGTTGAGCATCTGCGTGGTCTTTCTGACCATGCCAGCCTGGATGGCCAAGAGCTGGGAGCCCGGACTGAGGGCCGCCGAGGCAGTGATGGTGGGGTCCGAGGGGGCCGCCACCAGCGCAGCATCAGCCTGTAGCCTCGTCATCAGTGTGCCGGCTGGATTCTCTGGCCAGGGGCAGGCGGGGCCTGCAGGCTCCCCACCCTCTCGGGCCTGGTGTTCCCAAGGCCGCCTTCCCCTGTGCTGGGAGGACAGGTACCTAGCCCCGTCTGCCTGCCCAGGCTTCCTCTTCCCTGCCCCAGGCCTCAGGAGGCAACCGCCCCTGCTGGCTCCTTGAGTGTCCGACACCATTGCTTTCCCATTCTAGCTTCCTGCTCTGCCTGGTGTCTCCCTCAGGGAGCGTGGTCCAGGAGGCCCAGAAGCGCATCCGAAGAGCCAGTGCAGGGCTCATGGAGGGGCGGGCGTCTGTGTAACTGTGAGGTGTGTGTGTGTGGAAGGTCCTTTCCACGTTGGCCCAGGGTGGTCACCTCCCCCGGGCACCGGCGGGGCCTTGGAGAGGCAGGCTGTGGTGAGATGGGTAGAGGAGCTGAGACGCGTCTCCACAGCCTCTTGCAGGTGGGACTCGGAACTTGGTGCTCAACTGCTCTGCCTTGCTGTCCCTCAGCCATACCTGCCCCGATGTGGGGTCTCAGGCCAGGCTGCCGTGCCACTCATGTGCCCTGCTGTGGAAAGGGTGTGCTGGGCTGTGAACCCCAGCCCTGCTCAGGGAGCTCTCGGGTGCGCAGTGGGGCTCCCAGGCCGCAGGGGAGCTGTGGCCAGGGAAGCAGCGGGCACTGTACCTGTGCAGCTGCCCCGCTCACTGGCTGGAAGAGGTGGCCATGATGAGAGCCTTGGGGTTTGAGGTGGCCGCAGAAAGGTACCAGGGGGCTGGGAGGGGAGGACCTGGCTGTGTGTGGGAGATGGGTCTGTCCTGGTTTTATTTAAATAAAATAGTTTCTGTTACTGTTCTAGTAAGGTTCACTGTCCCTGTTGGGGAGGCTGAGCAGGGTATGGTGGGAGGGGAGCAGGCCGATGGAGGATTAGGTGGAGCCAGCCAGGTGGTGTACAGAGTGCTTCTGGCAGGGTTGCCCAAGGCAGGGGCATACGCCAAGCAGTTGGTGCCCCTGGGTGTGTGTGCTGGTGAGGTGGGGGACTGGACTCCAGGGGCCTCTGGAGTGGACGGAGCAGTGGAGGAGGCTGCCAGCCGGGTCTGTCCTGGCCACGTCCCCGCCAATCTCTGAGCACCAGGCTCGGACGTTCTTTGATGCAGCGTGCATCCTGAAGGGGTGCTGCTGCTGGCGAGGGGGGTGTTTGTACTCAGGCAAGGCCTGGTGGGCTCTGCTGGGACAAGCTGTTGCTGGAGGGGCTGACAGGAGAGGTCAGCTCCCTTGCTGGACCTCGCGTGCTGCCGGAGGGGCTGGCCAAGAGGTGAGCTGAGCGACGGAAGGAGAGGGTACCATCAGCGAGCGGGTGGGGAAGGCCAAGAGGGGCAGGGTGAAGCCAGGTTTGGAGTCCAGGCAGAGCCCTGCGGAGCCCCGGTGTGACCCTTGGCAGGAGTGACCAGGCTCTGACGGCCTGCCAGGCCTACGCTGCCCTGGCGGGGCCCAGACCCTCCTGGTGTCAGGAGAGCGGCTTGCAGGGCAGTGCTGCTGGAGCCCTTGTGCTTCAGAGCTCTGCTGCCCCCTGGTGGGCAGGACACCCATGTTACCTGCCAGTGCAGGGTGTGAGGCACTCCTTGGGTGGTCACAGTTCCCACAGTTCCGCTGTGCCCTGGCCAGCAGGCAGAGGGGCCTACCCATACAGAGACCCGCTCAACGTGCTCCGGATGACAGTAGAGCTGATGGGAGGAAACACGAGCCCTGGCGGATGAACGCACCGCCCACTGCCAGCAGTAGTTGCTCTCGCTCACCCAGTGCACACACCACGTGTCAGGGTGATCTGTGCCCTCTGTTCGGGGCTGGGGCCCCCGTCCCCCTGTTCTACAACCATCACACGATGGTCGGCAAAGGTTCATTTATCCCTTGTCCCTCCCTGGCCCCTGGTGACTTTCAGTGTGGTTAGTTCTGGGGGCGCACAGTCCCAGGATCATCTCTTGTCTGCAGGGGAGGTGGCGCCCTTCCCTACACTCCTGTTACCAGCTGCAAACAGGAACAGGGACCTTTTCCCACAGCTTTGGGGTGTACAGCCTGAGGAGGGGGGCACATCCCCTGCTGAGCCAGACCAGGGTGGGGGGCGTGGTGCTCTTACTAAAAGGGTTGTCTCTGGATCGGCTGTGCCTTTGAGAAATGATGGCCTGGGCCATCTCCTGTGGATGTGCCTGCCCCCTCAGCATAGGGGGCTGCTGGCCGCCGAGGGCCATCGGGGTCCTGCTCTGCTACTGCTAGGGAGTTCCATGCACAGAGCGGGGAGGAGCACGGTGGGCTCCCTAGGACACCCACAGACTCACCCACGGGCAGGGCTGCCAGGTGAGGCTCAGGTGTGTGCAGGGAGCAGGTGATGCAGGGCAGTGAGGTGAGTGACTCAGGAGGGCCACTGCCCAGGAGGGCCAGGGAGGCAGGAAGAGCATAGGGAGTTTGCCCAGGACTGTGCTGGGCAGCTCTGCTCCCCTAGGTCTCAGACTGGAGAGGTGATGGCAGGAGGTCCCTCCGCTGTCCTGGGGTCCTCACCCCGTCTGTGCTGGTCTCCTGGAGTGTGAGCTGAGCTCAGCGGCCAGGTGCCACATTCCCAGGACCTGGGCATTCTCGGCCAAGCCTCTGTCTGCTGCCTGCACCTGCTGGTGGTTCCTTAGCCTGCATGCCGCTTCCTGCTGTCCCCCACAGCCTGTGGCCTGAGGCCCTGTGCCCCTGCACCTGAGCAGAGCACCCAGGAGGCACCCACCCCCAACCAACCGCCTCACTCCTGTGACTTCATGAATCCCTGGACAGTCACTGGATGTGACTCCATCCCACCCACCAGGCCTGTGGCAAAGTGGACATTATAGGTGTAGGACCTCAGCTGACAGTCACAAGGGGTGGCAGGTGTGGCCTGGCACCTTGCAGGGTGACCCATCATGCCTGGCTGCCATCCTTCTTGGGGTTTGGAAACAGCTTGACTGAGGAGTTCAGTGGTTTGGAAGCTCTGACTCCTGTGTCCTCTAGCCAGGGGCAGGGCAGGTGCTCTGCCCACTGCAGGTGCTCTGCTGGCAGCGGAGGGCATGCATGGGAGGCGCCTGGTGCCCCCATGTGTGCCACTTGCTGTGTTTGCAGGAGAGCTGAGAGCAAGGCTCAGCCTGCAGCAGCCCACGTGACTGGAATGTCTACTTGGTGCCTGGGTCTCCCAGGATGCCCAGTGTGTCCTTCACTGGGCAGGGCGATGGCAGTGACCGTCCAGTATGGGAGAGTCATGGGTTTCTGTGCGTGTCCTTGCAGGGAGGGCAGGTAGATGTGGCCTCTTACTCAGGACAGAAACATTCTAAGTCCAAGCCAAGTGCAGAGGCTGCACCAGGAGGTGGGCAAAGTAGCCCTAACAAACCTCCAAACACGTTTAGAAATTATGAAAAAACCTAAAAATTCACGGGGACTCTCAGGTGGCCCCAAATGGCCAAGGACATCTCAAAAGAGGGCAGAGAGACCCGAGTGTTTGAGCCTGCAGCTGCTGCTGCTCAGCAGGCAACAGAAGGAAGCCATGCAGGAGCGCCAAGCACACCAGGGTGAGGCCGGGCATGGAGGACAGACACTGCGGAAAGCACTGTGGGGATTTCTTAAAGCAGCAGAAGTTCGTCTGTGGTCCCACAGTCCCACTACTGGGTGCACACAGCAGACACAGACAACACTGGTCCGCTGTTTACGGTGGCGCTGCTCAAAACAGCCAAAATCGGGAGCAGCCAAGATGCCCATCGTAAGAATGGCTAGAATGTGAGTCTACACGAGGGAATACGGTTCAGCCACAAAAGGAATGAACTACCATTTGGATCATTTGGGAGGCAACAAGAGAAAATTTTCATCTTGTGAAGAAGCGAGGGACCAGATGCTCCATTGCTTGCCCAGTGTAGCTGGAATAAACAGGGTATGAGAAGCAACCCAACACATCTCCCACTTCATGCCCAGCTCCCAACTCGCGTTCTCATCAAGGTGCTCCATGGTCTGAACTCTCCACTGGGCTGCAAGCTGCATTGCTCACTGCCACCTGCGGTGACTGAATCGGCTGCAGGAATTTAACCTCCTGGGGACAGAGGGACTCAGGACCCTGACACGGCCTGGGCAGGATGTGGGAGCAGCGGTGGGTGTCTGTGGGCCTTTTGTCTGAAGAGTCCCCTCTTCCGATTCCCCAGTCCCCATCATTTCACAGACTTGGGTCCAACACCCCTCATCTGGGGGTTCTCTTGATTCCAGACCCACAAGCTGGCTCCCTGGGGATGGGCCTCGTGCCCTAGGTGCCCAAGTCCTAACGCAGCAAGATGCAGGCGATGACCTGGGGTCTGACCCCCGCATCCCCTACCTGCCCGGAGGTAAGGCCACGGTTGCTCTGCATTGTCGGGAGGTTGATGGGTTGATGTCACCACTTCCCTGGAAGGCAGACAGAGTGCATCTGAACATCAGCCAGCCAGTGACTAACCAGTCCCTCCCAGGTATCTGAGTTCCAGGACCTGCCAGGGCCAGGGCTGGGCATGGAAAGGGCCCTGGAGAAGTGGGCAGGGCAGCAGAGGCTCAGGGACCTGCTATGCCATCTCTGACGACAGAGGGGATCGAGGTCTCAGAAGGTCGGGAGAGCTCGTTTGTGGCCATGCTGCCAACCTTGCAGGAGCCCAGCCTCCCTCCTTCCTGTGGGCCCAGCCAAGGGGGAGGCTGAGGCTGCTCATGCATGACCTTGTGCAGCTCCTTGTCCAGGGCTCTGTGGCCTCAGCCTTGGCCCTCAGGGACAGGGGTGGTGCTGATTTCAGGCCCTGTGACTCACAGGGGGCACACGTGGGATGCCCCAGGGCAGGGTGGCTGCGAGGGGTCAGGAGGTTTGCCCAGGCTGAGGGCTCTGGGCTCAGCTTAGACTCCTGCCCCAGAGCCTCAGGATCCTGGTGCCCATCCTGCCCACGCCAGGCTCACTCATGTGCACAGAGTCCGTGGACATGCGCAGCATCAGCAGGTGTGTCAGCTGGCTGCCCGGGAAGGGGACGGCTCCCTGTCAGGGCTGGTGCTGATGAGCACCTGCTCCCAGGTGCCTTCAGGCCTGGCCCTGAGACCGCTCCCCTGCTCCTGGACTCCAGCCCAGGTCTCCCAGGAGCCTGCAGGACCCTTCCCCAGCCTGCCTGCTGCTCCAGGATGGCAGCCATCCCTGGGACATGTCCTCTTGTCTCACAGGTCATATGGTCCAGCCCCACCTCCAGTCCACATCCACTGTGAGTCCAGCTGCCCCAAGCTCTGCTCTGACCTGTCCCTTGGAGGCCACTCAGGCATGTGGGGTGGTGCGAGGATTGTGTGTGGAGGGTCCTCTGCCCGTGACCTAGGCTCGGAGTTTCAGAAGGAGCCCACCGCGCCAGGCACAGGCACCTACTGCTGCCACTGCCTCATCTGGGCTCTCTAGGGGTTCTTCTCCCGGGCAGCCAGCTTAAACGTCTCCATCTGCCAGGTCAGGCCCAAGGTCAAGCAGCCAGCCCTCACCTCACTGCCCACATCTGTGCTCCCCCTCCCCCGCCCTGCGCTACTCCCCAGAACCTCACCGACTCCACGTGATGCCTGCCCAGCATTCTGCACTTGACAGAACGTGACGAGGGTCAGCCATTTGCCCAGGTCCTCCAGGTGAGCCTGGCTCCAGCTGGAGACCCCAGCCCTACAGCAGCCTCGACACGGGACCATCCTTTGGGCTCTCCAGGCAGAATGGCTGACCTCCCAGCCTGAGCTGAGCCAGGGCTTGGCTTCCTGAGAACCACTAGGGGGAGGGTGGGGAGCC